CTTTTCTGTTCACGTATGTGACTGTTTCTTATTCTCCTTGATAAGCCTGGTAACCTGATATCCTGTAGAGGAGGCTGCCAGGACTTGGGTGGCCTGGGGAACACATTAGTATGTACCCTAGACTTGATCTACACACACACACACACACACACACACACACACTCACACTTCCATCGACCATACATACACAGTGGGGCTGACGTTCACCAGAATCTACCAGGGCGACCTCCTGTAGCTCTGTGTGATGGTAATTTCTTACATGACACTAATGTGGAACAAAATTTGAGAATGAAGCAATAAAAATAATAAGTTTAGCTACAAAGTTTAAGATAAATTTACTTTTACCCACAGATCCCCAGATCTATATATAACATTGTGATTTTTAATACCTTTGAAATGATGAGTGAGCATGGAAGCAAACTTTGTCTAGTCAGGGGCTAGAACATAATAATACTTCTTCACACTCAGGCTGTGGGTCAGTCAGGGAGGGTACTGCGAAGGGTTTTGGTTTTGTTTTGGTTTTTTGGGTAGCCTCAGAGTCATGATTTCAATTTGAAATCTTTCCACAGCCATGACACATTGCTCTTGCCATCTGGTCAACCTGACAGTGATTACTAGCTTTTAATAGAACTTCCGAGGATGGGTGGAAACAAAAATGACTAACACCACATCACCCTCGGTACCCATCAGGAGGTTTGCAGAAATAAGACAGCATTCACATGCCAGATTCCTTAGAAACACCCTTCAGTCCTGCCGGCGTTATAAGGATGCGTGGGCACGACCTGGCTCTGGCATTCATTTGTCATCTTTTCAATCTTGGTTCCATGATTGGTGTGGATATTTTCCTAATCTTCAGTCTTCTCATTATATCGTGCCTGCCTCGCAAGGTTGTAGTGCGACTATCGTGAAACAGTGTAGGCAGCATGTTCAATTCCACCAGTTTCTCCTCATAAGAAAGTTGGTAACATCTGCTTCTGCAGAAATTTCAGCCTTGAGAGCTTGAGGGGGAAGGTAGTTCTATTCTGCCTTCTGGAGTTACTGTAAATTAGAATCTGCTTGGCAACAATGAGTATGGTTTTTTGTTTGTTTTGCTGAGTTTATTGTTTATTTGTTTGTTTGGGTTTAAGCAAAGAATTTTCTTTCCCTTTGTGTGCAGGTGGCTAGGTGGTCAATTATTAATCAACAAGATGGTAAATCAAACCCATTCAAAGACATCATTGTGGTCTATTTCAGAAGATCACCTTTGTCTCCTGTGGAGAAGAGTTCTGCTTTGACACATAGGAGGCCTGCATGAGTCAGAATGAACTCCACATCAATGGGATGTCTTCTGTGGGTTTGTTTGGGTTGTTCTTTTTGTTTTGTTTTGTTTTATTCCGAAGCACAGGATGTAAATAAGAAATCATACCTTCAGCTTTGGAAACAATCACAGGTCCTGCTGTCTATTTCTTCCGCTCATAATGAGATTGTGGAAGCGCTGAGAATGTTGTAATCTAGGAACCACATTGGTCAACTCTGACTTGTCCGTCTCCTACCCGTATCTATTCCTCTGTATCTTATTCCCTGGAGATAGTGCTCTTGGGGAATCTATATAGTGACTTGTATACCAGACACTAATGTTATGTGTGCATTCATTCCAATCCACAGTAACACTGCAGGACAGAGTTCAACTGCTCCATAAGGTTTCCTAGTTAACTAATTACAGGAAAATTATCAGGTCCTTCCTTTCACCCGCAGAGCTGCTGGATTGGCTCAATCCATCAGCCTTTCAGTTAGCACGGCAAAGCTGTTGAGTCCCCACCACCAGAAACAACAACAAAAATTGTCATCCTGTCAATTCAAACTCATCAACCGTAGGAAGCAGGAGTGACACCCAGGGCTCCAGAAACTCTATGAACTTTGGTAAATGCCAATAGCTATTGAAAGGCTTCAGACCTTTTGTTTATAGGGTCACTATGAGTCATGCTCAACTCAAACACATCAACAACAACAACAGTAACAGGAAGCTGTGCTGTAATCCCAAAGGTTTGCAGTTCAAGGCCACCAGCTGCTCTGTGGGAGAAGGGTGGGCAATCTCCTGTGTGATTATATAACTCTGAAAACCCGCTGGTGGGTCACAGCACGGTACCCAACAACGAAATCAACCAAACAGAAAAGAGCAGAACTGTGCCACCCAAGGCTTCCACAACCATAATCTTTATAGAGGCAAATTGCTACTTCTTTCTAGCAAAGGAGTGGCTGGTGTATTGGAACCAGTGCCCTTTCAATTAAGCGCCACACGTTTAATCATTGCCCCACAGGGCTCTTTTTCCAATGAGCTCTCCAAAAACACTCTTTGAGCTTTGTAAGGTTGTTTCTAAGCCTGAGCTTTCAAGTGCAGCTTTCCACCAGGACAGCTTTTCTCTATGCTTTTCTGGGACAATTGGGGGCACTAACACAAAACTCCTTTAGCAGGTTAAAGAGAAGAAATAGCCCTACTAGTCAGGGAGGTTACAACTCAGGTCCACACGACTCACAGAGCCAAAGGGCTGCCAAGTTTCTCAAGGGGCAGCAAGGGGTTGCCCTTAGCAGAATCTGAACACCTCTGAAGGTGCAATGGTTAAAGTCCTTGCCTGCTAACTGAAAGTTTAACAGCTTGTTGAACTCACCAGCTGCTTAATGGAGAAAGGTGTCTGCTTCTGGAATTATGACAGACTTGGAAGTCCTGCAGGGCACTTCCACGCTGCCTTATGTGGTCACCCTGAGTCAGGACTGACTCATGGGCGATGAGTTTGGGTGGGTTGGTTGGTTTGGGGTATGGAGTCAGTCCCAGGCCCTTAGAGTCACTATATGATGATGTTCTAATGCACTTGCCCAAAGCTGTAGCCGCAAAATGATCTGGTTTTCTCTCAAGAGGAGCTAATGCAATTATAAACAGTGTTCATATATAAATACAGCCATAGCAACCCCTTGGGGAACCCTGGATGGATTCCCTCCAAAAAGATGAAGGAGGGAGGGCCAGAGCCTATCCACCTGTCCCTTTCTACTGTTTCTTGTAGTAGTGTTTTGTAGTTTTCCTTATACAGACCTTTTGTGTCTCTAGTTAGGTTTAGTCTTAAGTATTTTATTCTATTGTTAGCTATTATAATTGGTATCGTCTTTCTAGTTTCCTTTCCAATGCTTTCTTTGTTGCTGTATCAGAACTCCAGCTGATGTTTTCATGTTGATTTTATATCCTGCCCCTCTACTAAATTGGTCTACTAGATCGACCAGTTCTTTTTGTTGAGTCTATGAGATTTTCTGAATACACTATCATATCATTTGCATTATGTAACAGTTTCATCAGCTTTTTGTCAATTTGGAAGCCTCTTATTTCCTTTTCTTGCTTTATTCACCTGGCTACAATTTCTGATACAATATTGAATAGGAGTGGTGAGAGTGGAAAACTTTGTCTGGTTTCTGTTAGCAAGGAGTGTGATTTTAGTCTCTCTCCACTGGGAATGATACTGGCTTTTGGTTTGGGATATGTACTTTTCGCTATATTGAGGAAACTCCCCTCTATTCCAATATTGCTGAGTGTTTTAATCAGAAAGAGATATTGGATTTTGCCAAAGACTTTTTCTGCATTGATCAGCAAGTCCATGTGGTTCTTATTCTTTACAGTGTTAATGTGATGAATTACACTGTTTTTCTTATACTGAACAATCTTTTCTATTCTTTAAAATAATTTAAATAGACTGGTGATAGTTCATCTCTGAATGTTTTGTAGAATTCACCTATGAAACCATGCAGGCCAAGACTTTTTTGAGAGGAAGTAATTCTATGATCTAATCAATTTTGCTTTTGTGATAGACCTGATCATTTGTTCCACTTCTGTTTGGGTCGGTTTGGCCAAGGTATGGGTTTCTAGAAATATATTCATTTCCTGTAGATTTTCAAATTTGTCAGAGTACAACTTTTCATATTATTTCAATATTGTAGATTTCTATTTGAATCCTTCTGTTGTGATGTTAACTCTTTAATTTTTTGTTGGCGTTATTTGTGTCTTTTCTTTTGTTAGGCTGGCCAGTAGTTTGTTTATTTTATTAACCCTTTCAAAGGACCAGCTTCTAGATTTGTTGATGGTTCCAATCATTTTACCATTTCTAGCCAATTGATTTCAGCCCTTATCCTTATGATTTCCTTTCTTCTAGAGTTTGTGGAATTAGCCAGTTATTCATATATATATATATATATTCTGGAGGGATGAGTTAGACAGTTTATTTTACTTCTTTCTTGTTTTTTAATGTTTTTACTTATTACTATGAACTGACCTTTGAGGACGGCCTTAACTGTACCCCAGAGGTTAGTTGTATTTTCATTTTCATTAGAATTTTGAGGAACTTTTTTTAAATTTCACATTGTATTTCTTTGACTGGAACAGTACTTCAGCAGAGAGCAGCCATATGCACACGCTGGGTTTAGGAGAGGCCGTGGCACTAGGGACATCATTGCCAGTGTTAGATGGATTTGGTTGAAAGCAGAGAACAGCAGAGGAATGTCTGTCTGTGTTTCATTAGCTATGCAAAGGTATTTGACTATGCGGATCACAACAAATTGAAGGTAATCTTGGGCATAATGAGGATCTCATAGTGCACTCCACTGCATAGTGGAATGGACTGAGGGGCAGGGGGATTGTATAACAGTGAAAGAACTTTTTCTTTTTACTTTTCAAAGAGAATAGCGAACTGGGGAAAGGGGCTGAGAGGAAAGTGTGTAACATTGAATGAATGGAAATCCAAAGTCTCTGTAAACTTTCATTAAAAAAAGAAAAGAAAAGAAATGCCAGGCATCTTCTCCTGTAAAGATGAAGTCCCGGGAAAGCCTGTGGGCAGTTCTGTACCACATCATAAGACAGGATGGCTGAGAGAGCGCCCAGCAACAGGAGCAGCAGTAGAGGGAGAGATGGTGCCGTTTGTTTTTCAGAGAAGGTGAGGTCATGAGCGTGATCTTTGTGATGAAGGACCCTCTCCTTTCTCTTGTAGCTTTGGCATGGTACACGATGGGGAAGGCAACATGTGCAAGAAGTCCGAGGGCAACATCATGTCACCCACTTTGGCTGGACGCAATGGGGTCTTCTCCTGGTCACCCTGCAGCCGCCAGTACCTGCGCAAATTTCTGAGGTAAGAAGTCCTTGGCCAGTTAGCAGGTTCTCCCTGGGTTATACAGACTTGTTGGCTGGTGGGCACAGTAATTCGGAGAGAGGCAAGCTAATGGCTAGTCAGATGGATGCCGTGCTTCTCCTTCCAAATCCTAATGGTTTCAAGTATAAAATGTGGCCTCGACCTTCAAGCAAAGCTTACTTTCTAATGGACTCATAGCGAGCATGAGGCAGGTGGTGGGCTCTGCTCTGAGCAGTCACTCGTGGACTCAAGTTCTTATGTCCTGTGGTCTTCACGGTGCTGAGACCTCGTTCTATTTTGTAGTCAGCTGATGGATGAGAAGGTGTGCAGGACAGATATGGTATTTCTTCTGGAAGAAAACACTCAGGCAGAAGGCTCCACCCCCTTCAAAGTACAAGGAGGCTGAGAATTATTGTCTGTAATATCTAAAAGGAAAGCATGGGGCTTGGTCAAGAAAGCAGAGAATCAAAAGAAAGAAAAGACTCTGTCTTTAGTGTCCCAGGATGAAGTTACCTAGATGCTGGGTCTAAGAGATTTGAAATGCTGGAGTGGAAGGGCCATATGTAAACCCATGAGAATGTACTGGGGTTCTTTTTATCAACCCTTTCACTCTTTATATTAAGAGGTATAAACCTTCCCGATAGGATGCATGCACCAGTCATCTGTCAGTCTCCTACAGTGCGGTGTCTTGTGTGTTGCTGTGATGTTGGAAGCTATACCATCTCAAATACCAGCAGAGTTACCAAAGGTGGACAGGCTTCAGTGGAGTTTCCAGACCATGACAGAGTAGGAAGTAGGGCTGGCCATTCCCTTCTGAGAAAACAGACCCTCAAAAGCCTTACGAACATCGTTGGAGACAGTGCCAGAAGCTGAGCCCTTCAGGTGGGAAGGCACTTAAAAATGAGACTAGGGAAGAACTTTCCCTTCAAAGTAGAATGAAATGGATAGAGTAAAATGTTCACCCAGTGAAAGACTATCATTTACTGATTTGGAAAGTCTCAACATGAGTTGAAACAGATACAAAGAACCATTAATAATTGAACATGGAATGTAAAATGTATATTAGTCTGTTTGAGTGACCAAGTGGCTTTCAATTGAGAATACTCATGACACCAACACCAAGAGGTAGTTTAACCAAATGGAAAGGAATAGAGGCTCATGCCTCAGTAAATATTTTAAATACACTACCATTTGGTTTTTAAATCACAGGTATCCTCAATCTTATTTTACCCTGTGGTCTTTTAAAAAAAAAATATCTGGGGAGGGGGGAAGGGAGGCTAGGAGGAAAATGTGCAACAATGAACAATTGGAAACCTAAGTTCTTCATAAACATTCATTAAAATCTCAAATAAAAAAAGGAAAAAGATGTATGAATCTAGGAAAAATAGAAGTTGTCCAAAAAGGAAATGGGATACGTAAAGATTAACATCCTAAGCATTAGTGAGCTGAAATGGATTGGGACTGGCCATTTTGAATCAGACAATCACGTGATCTTTTATGCCATAAATGACAAATTAAAGATGATGTGGCTTTCATTATATATATAAAAAAAACCCAACAAAAAACAACACAAAACCCACAAACAACCCACAAAGAACATTCACTACATTGCTCTGAGTGATAGGATAATGTCCATATGCATACAAAGATGTTCTGTTTATACAACTATTATTCAAACATACACACCAACTAAAGAAGCCATAGGTGAAGAATTTAAGGATTCCTACCAATTTTTACAGTCTGAAATTTATCAATCACACAGTCAAGGTGCATTAATAATATTTGGTGACTCTAACGCAACAACTGGAAAGAAACAGGAAAGGCTGGTAGTTGGAAAATATGGCCTTGGTGACAGGAATGTGGCTAGAGATACAGAACTTTGTACAATGAATAAGTGTTTCATTACAAATACATTTATGAAAAGCATAAACCATGACTACACATATGGCTAAATTATGACTCATATGAAGAAGAATGGGAATCCCAGAATGCTTAATTTTGCTAATACAAAATCTTTGCCTAGACAAAGAAGCTGTTATCTGAACTCAGCAAAAGAACACTGCATGGTTAAATTGGGTAAAGATATGCATCAGGGTTATATCTTTTCTTCATACCTACTCAATCTGTATGCTAAGCAAATAATCTGTGAAGAAGAATGTGGCATCAGGATTGGAGAAAGACTCATAAAACAACCTGAATTATTCAGATGACACAACTTTTGCTGCTGCAAACAGGGAGGATATGAAATGCTTGTTGCAGAAAATCAAGGACTACAGTCTTCAGTATGGACTACATTTCCACATGAAGAAAACAAAGGTCCTCACTACAGGACCAGCAGGCAACATTATGACAGATAGAGAAAAGACTGAAGCTGTCAATGATTTCATCTCAAATGGATCAACAGTCAACCTCCTTTGTCCTAGCAGTTAGGAAATCAGTAGACATAATGGACTGGACAAATCAGCTGTCAAGAACTTCTAGAAAATGATGAAGAGTAATGAGGTCATTTTGAGGACTAACCTGTCCTTGATTCAGGACATGGTCTTCTCATTCACCTGGTGTCAGACAATGAATGAGGATGGCAGAAGAAGACTTGATGCCTTTGAGTTGTGGTGCTGTAAAAGAGTACTGAATATTCCGTGGACTGCCAAAAGAACAAATAGATATGTCTTGGAAAAAGTGCAGCCAGTGTGGTCCTTCATCTTTCATACTTTTGACGTGTAGCTAGGCAAGGCTATCCCTTGGAAAGGGATATCATGCTTAGAAAGATGGCAAATCACCAAAGAAGAGGAAGACCTCCAAAAAAGATGGATTAACATTTTTACTTCAGCAATAGATTCTAATATTTAAGAGCTGATGAGAAAGGCACAGGCTGTTCACAGTGTTGCTATGAGTCGTACTCGACTTGACAGCATTTAACAACAACAACATACACATGGACATCATTTGATAAGCTACAAAGAGTCAGATTAATTACCTATGTGGAAAAAGACAATGGAGAATCTCAATATTAGCAGTCAAAAGTAGGCCAGGTGATGACTGTGAAAATGACTGTCAACTTCTATTATGCAAATTTAAAATTGAAATTGATAAAAGAACCAGAATATGACCTTGAGTTTATCAAAACTGAATTTAAAAAGAAT